TCCATGTGCCCTCATTTACTCGAGTCAAAGAAAACCAGATGTCAAAATTGTCTATGACCGTAGCAATAATTCCTAGTGATTTGAAATCAAAGAAGCTGAAATTATATCCTTAGATAAAGAGACTGCAAACCAAGAGGATAAATCTGGCGATCTGAAAGACTTGGACTTAGATCAGGATTTACTAAATCTTATTAATTCAGATAGTGAAGAATCAGATTTTGATGGCTTCATATGATGTATAGTTTACTGCAATTCCTTTTGTAAGTAAAATTTAAAATTTCCTTTGTCATCCAAATTTAATACTTCGCTGTTGCAACATTTTTCATAATATAGTCTGAGTATTACAAATATGGACTTTTTTAGCTGGTAAATATAAGTATTGTAATATCTTGTTATTTAATAAATAAGTATAATTATTGTTGAAGTGGCAACGCCATATTTGTATCAAACCGTTACTCAGCAACGAGAGATATTGTTTTAAAAAGATTTTGTATTCTGATGATTTTGCTAGCTAGGAGTAGTATTAAAATTTTGCCACTTAAGAATTGTATAAAATTTGTCTATCACCGAGAACTAGAAATAAAATTTATGTTTTACTAAGAAGATTGTCTGTTTTGTAAATTACTGCATCAAATCACTAAAAAAGAAATAGACGACTTGGAAAATTTGAAAATAAGTAGAGAAGAATTTGAAAATTATGTATGAATGACAGAAGTACAGATGAAAAAATAATGAAAGATGATTACAGTGAATGTGAAAAATTTCAAGCTAAATTGCCCCAAACATACTCCATGGCTTTTGAGTATGCAGAGAAACTTCACTTTTTTACAAAAGGGTGCAAATAACAATGTTTTCTGGTTTCTCGAGTCTTCTCCAAAGAACAATAATGCAAGAAAGAAACAATAAGACAGTTCAAAGCAAATTAACCAACTTCTTTTGTACTACACAGAAATAAAAAAATAAGAACATATAGTACATATATTATGGTTTTTTATTTAGTGAGCTATTTTTAGTAGAATTTTAATTAAAATTGTTTTATTTCCTTGAGCAATGCAACATGTGACAAGTTTTAACCCCTTCCCGGCTTTTCCCGAGCTGGACTCAGGCAAGCGAAATGTACCATTCTGGCTCATCCCGAGTGTAGCTCGGGCACTGTGAAAATTAACACTGCACAACCAGTCTTTCCCGAATTATTTCACATGTCCCTTTTATGGTTTCGGATGCTTTTATTTACTATTGTTGCTACTAGATGGCAGCACTATACAGTGTTTTGAGCTATAGATTTAAGATAAGAGTAGGCGCCAATTTCTGATGCAAGATCAGATGTTTTTGTCGTAAAGCATCACATGCTTATATAACTAACGTTCTGTTTTTTTTTTTTTTTTTTTTCAAAATGGCTTGTGCGTGGTATATTGATTCTGATTCCAGTGAATCCGATTCCGAAGATGATTTTCGAAGTGAATACCGTTTAGATGTTTCAGAATCTGATTGTTCAGATTTCGGTACTTCTGAACAGAAAGTGATTCTGATTCAGAAAGCTTGAGTGAATGCTCGTCAGTGGTGTGAACTCAAATAGGGATACACCAAATCCTGCTCTCCCCAGAATTTATATTTCAAGGACACCCAGGACTAAATTTTTTTCCTGACAGTGACGACATTTTGCAGTTTTTTGAATATTTTTTTGATGATGGAAACTCTACAAATTATATGTAATGAAACAAATCGTTATGCTTCTCAGTACTTGAAAAAGGAATCAAGGGCACAAAAATGGTATCCAACTACAAAAAATGAAATTATGATATTATTAGTGGTTTTCACTTTACAGGGCATCGCGAAAAAGCCCGAAGAAGATTTATATTGGTGTAAAAAAGAAATATTTCATACACCTATATTTGGGAAACTTCTTTCAAAGAGAAGATACAAACTCTTGGTGCAATTTTTACATTTTGCGGACAATGAGGTTTATGATCCCGAATCGCACCCTAATCCAAAATTGTGTAAAATATGGCCTTTGTTCGAGCGTTTGAATGGGAATTTATGAACGCATATTCTCTAAGTAAAAACGTTTCTATTGATGAAAGTTTGATGTTGTATAAGGGGCGCCTTGGTTGGGTGCAATATATGCCACTCAAAAGAGCTAGATTTGGCATAAAATTTTACATGTTATGCGAATCCGAATCTGGTTACATGTGATCATGCATAATCTACACGGGTAAAGGAACCATTTTGAATGAGCAATTCAAAAATTTGCCTGTGTCATCACAAGTCGTGATGACACTATTGTATCCCCTTTTGAAGAAAGGGCACTGTGTAACGACGGATAATTTTTATACGTCCCCAGAACTGGCAGAATTGCTAATAGCGTATAAAACCGATATATATGGCACAGTTCGCTTGAACAGGAAAGGTATGCCTATTGATCTAAAAAAAAGGAAGTTGAAAAAGGGAGAAATTGCTGCATTTCAAAAGGGAAAAATCATGGTTCTGAAATGGAAGGACAAAAAGGATGTAGCACTGCTTTCCACTGTGCACAACACGGAGATGGTTGCAGTTACCCGCAGGAAGGAAAATAAAATGAAACCAAAAGTGGTAGTAGATTACAATGGAACTATGGGAGGGGTCGACCGTGTAGACCAAAGACTAAGCAGTTACAATGTCACTAAAAGAAGAGGAAAAAAATATTACAAAAAGATATTTCTCCATTTGTTGGATATAACACTATGGAATTCATATGTGTTGTACACAAAATCTGGTGGAAAGAGAAGTCATCTTCAGTACAGGACGAAGATAATAGAAAACATTATTGAAAAGTACCACTCGGTAGAATTTTCTGCCAAAAAAGGACGTCCTTCTGCTGATCACCCCCATCACGTCTGTCTGAAAGACATTTTGTTGATTACATTCCACCAACAGAGAAAAAAAGTAATCCAACAAGACAGTGTATTATTTGCTGCTCAAAGAGAGACAGTAGAGGGAAGAAGGTAAGAAGAGAAACAAGATTCTACTGTCCAGATTGCGATGTTGGACTCTGTGCAGTACCGTGCTTTCGAATGTACCATACACGATCAAATTTTGATTAATAATTTCATAATAATTTATGTAAATGCACAGGATATAAATAAAATTTGTAATTCAAGATTAAGCTAGGTATTCTAAGCTTTATATTTATAGTTAGTGTGAATTAACTCCAAAGTATAATGATTTCTGCCATACAGAAAGCCAACTTTACAGGTAAATACTTATTTATTACTCATTTATTTAAATAGATATCTTTACACTTATTTTTAGGAAATGTTGCATGCGAATGATGCTATTATGTTTAAAAAGATATGTATGTATGAAAATAAGCATAAAAAAATTGACATTTTTTGATCCGTAATCCCGAAATAAAATGAGCCTGGAAGGGGTTAAGCGAAAGCTATGCCGAAAAAGTAAAAATGCAGGAGCTTGCGTATTTAATAAATAGATATCTCATAATCTACATTTAAATTAAATAAATGCAATTGTGTGTTAGCTGAAACTGTAATTCTACTCTTTTGCTTTCCAAAAACCTTGAGAAAATAGATTTACCAGAATGTTCTCTGCACGATTAAAAAGCTTTAAAGAGGCGGAGAAAAACATCTAGGTTCAATTGTTTATTAGTTGACATTTACTTAGCTGCGGTAAATTTTGTTGAACGGATTAGCTTTCTCTGTGTTTTGAATTGTACTCTATTTAATGTTTTAGTAGTTTAAAATATAACTACTGTGTCGTACTGTATGAACATCTGAGAGGAAAAATTTCAGCATTTTGTTTTATTTCTTGTGATCATAATAAGAATTATCATCAGACTTTCAGAAAGATCTTTTCATCAGACTTGCATTCAATCTATAACAACCCATATGCACACAACACAAAATTATGATTTTTTCATGAACCGAGTTTTAACGAGCAAACATCATGGTCCCTTGCGATTTTGACTGTATTTAGTTTTAATTAAAAACTTTATGTACTGTGTATGTGTTTATGAATACAAACTACTTTAAATCAAGTTATCGGTACTTATCAATATTTCTTATATTTTTCTTTAATTCATAAAACACATTAAAAATAATCTAAACTTAAATGTCATGTATTTTTCAAGTTTTGGATAGGAATGGGGGAATGATCGTCCATTTGTGCATGAGGCAAAAAATGTTGAGAAGCACTGGTGTGTGTGTGTGTGTGTGTGTGTGTGTGTGCATATATATATAATTACAAAACAATTCTTTTTAAAAACAAAATACAAACATGCCTAGTATTTTCACGCATTCAGCTCCAGAAAAATTATCATTAAAGACAAAGTAAGAAAATTAGAACTAATATTTTACAAAGACAAGAAATTGAAATTTATAATTAATAAATTTTAAATAATCATATAAATGCAAAAAAGAATTTTAAAATGTTAAAATCAAAACATTTCAAACAAGCAAAACCAAACTTCAAAAAATTAATGAAATTTAAAGAAAAATGAATAGAAGAGGAATTCAATCAACCTCAATGTCACTTTCATAAGGGAGGTTAGGCATTTATATGATTATTTGAAATTTATTAATTATGAATTTCAATGTCTGGTCTTCGTGAAATATTAGTTCTAAATTTCTTAATTTATGTCTTTATATATATATATATCTTGCATATATACTATATATACACACAAGATTTAAGACATACAATTAATCTCATTATCAGTTTATTATACCTTTCTTTTTCACATCACTTCTGTCATTGGGATTTTAATTTTAAGGGGAAATATGTATATTTGTTTTATTGCTCTGTGGTATAGATTTTTACTTCAATATTCACGCATCTGCTATTTCTTACTAATTTATTCCAGTATCACATTTTACTTTTTATTAAACCATATACACAATATTGCTAGTATTTTTGTTCATTTTATTAATTGTCAAGTGATTAGAACTTGAGAAACTTGCATTAAATACTTTGAAACATTAAAAAATACTAATAGAAATAAAATTTACCTTCATTTAAAGCATCACCTAATACACCAGCTTGTTGTTGAGACAAACGAAACAGAGCTTTACCATACAAGAAATAAACTTCACCACATTCCAAAGCCAGTTCTCCAAAATGTTTGACATACAATTCACAAGCAGTAGCCAAGCTCTGTACGGCAAATGTATAATCCTGAACAAGCATATGTCTTTTCCCTTGTAAGAAATTATTGAAAGCTTCTTCAGGAAGAGATCTGAAATTTTTCAACTACGATATTAGACATTTTTTACAGTTTAATGAGCTGTTCATCAAAGGTTTATATTACAGAAAACAGTTCAAATTTACAAAAAACACAAAGCATCATATTAATATAAACTTCAAAACCTAAGATAGTAGATTTCCACGATAAGAAACTTGATCACAAGCCAATTTTCATGTAACTTTTCAGAGCTACAGGAAAACTTATAAAATACTTATTTAAAATACTAGTAGCATTGTTTCTCAAGGAATACAATGTTTTTTATTATTTTCTACCTAAAGAACAGTACCTGCGAGCCATAAAGATAACAAACAAATGGTTTCCACCAAGTCATAATCTTTTATAACCATAAATTGGGAACTTTTCTTGGAGTGCAGATGATCAGAAAGTACCAATACAGATATTACTAATTATATTATTTTTAAGACAAATGCCCTTTAAGCAATTTAGATCATTAAAGATACAATAAAGCATTCAATTAAAATTACGAAATTAAAATATCTTATGTACACTAAATAGGTTTATAAAAGCAAAAAATTACAAGAACAGAAGAGCTTATCATTAATTGTTTTTAATTGAAAAATTATTAAAAATATAAAATACCATCAAGACTGAAAAATTATTTTTCAGAAATTACATACGACATTGAAAAATGTCAACTCAGCAGCAAATACCTAAAAATGATTAGCTTGACACATTATAAATTATGTACTTTAATTCATATCAATCAACTACATTAAGTAATATTAGGATTTAAATTAAGAATTTTATATACTGTTTTTTAATCATTAAGTTTCTTAACCAATAACATATCATTTGAAAGAAAGACTGTGCTTTGCCAAATGGCAACAATCCAAACCTGCTATGCACGAAAGCTATTTCTAGATCCTTTCTCTGCTAACCTTAACTGTCATGCCCGAAATAATCTCGGATACGGCACTAGTATTCTAAAATGTCATGCCCAAATATTAATTGGGATATTTTTTTTTTTTAGAGCATCGTATTGTTATACCCGAATATCTATTGTGAGAAGTTTATTCCGGCTTCAATTAAACAGATGGCAGCACTTTACTAAAGGTTTCAAAGGATAGAGGTTAAAGTTCAAGTGCACCGCAGAGGTTTTTTTTTTTTTTTTTTTGATTGCAAGGCAAAATTTTTATTTTTGGAATTAAAAAATGACAATTTATCCACCCAAATCATCAAAATAACTTGACAGTTAAAGGGTTAATCTTGGATGTTAGTTTCCAAAGCATGATTACATATACAGCTTTTAATTTGCTACAATAAAATTTTATAAATTATATGAAAACAAAATGTGAAAAATTAAATCTTAGATTTTTACTAAGATAGCAAAATTACTAATTTATATAGAAAATGGAATGAAATAATTTCTGAACCATTAATTTTTTTTCAACGTAGTATAATTATCATAGAAGCTTGATTCTAAAATGGTTGATTTATCACACTTCTACAGCCTTCAAGTTAACTTTTTCATTTCTAGTCCATGGGTATAACAAATCAGTAATATAAATGCACCCATGACAGCTTAAGATATTGTTTTCTAATTCTAACACAAATGATAATTCATAAACTCTGCATCTCAGAATTATCACTCATTTAAACTTTAATTTGAACATCATAATACAACTATTATAAAAGCACTTACCAAGTCAGTAATAAAAAAGGGCATATGTATTATAAAAGCACTTACCAAGTCAGTAATAAAAAAGGGCATATGTATTTCTTTACAGATAAAACCTATTTTCTGCATTTTAAAATATTACTCACAGTATTTAAATTATTTAAATCCTATCCTACAGTGATTACCATTATTTTTTATCTGATGAATTTTGACTAAACACGTTGATTTGAATTTCAAATTACAGTAAAACCCATACAGCATAAAATTACTCCTGTAAGAAGTCTGGTTTCCACAGTTCCAAAACAAGATTCAAAAACTTAATACAAATGTTTTGTACAAAATTTCAACTTATTAGTTTTGACTAAAAAGACAATCCCTAATATGAAGAACATATTTTTATGAAATTTTCTGTGAATTCTAAAACTTTCAAAGATAGATAAAAAAAAATTCATTTATTTCCTTTGAAGATAAATCATCTAGATTTCAAACAACTGATTGAGCCATTGTTTTTTAATTACCAAGAACATTTTACAGTCTACTGATGTGACTGGAAAATCACACGAGTAGATCACATGATGGTTTACATGAGAAACCAAGATTCCCAGTTAATACAGTGGATACAATCTATGCAAATATATTAGTTATGTAAATTAATTGGTATAATCAACATATACATGTAAATGTATATTAAAATTTGCATATATATTTCGACTAGTGAATATCAGAACTCGGAAATTTACTTGAAGAAGCAATCATTTAATCAATCAATTTATATCAATGAGGTTATTTCTACAATGAGTTCTGCCAGAATTAAAAATACATACTTGCTTAATAAATTCATTAAAAATACATAAGACTCCAACCTACATCAAAACTTGTCAGTAGTCAAATGTGTAAATGACATTTTAAAATGCACATGTAAGGCATATTTTATATTAACCATTTGTCAATTTGCAACCATTGAGTTGAGTGTAATTAAATGGATTGTAATTAAAAGTCCACACATATACAGTGCAAAGTCCGTAATCTGGACGTCCATTATCCGGAATGACATATAATCCGGACCTCAAAGCCACATACCTTTTTTTTGTATGCTTTACGCATGCGTGTAATGAGTTTATGCATGCGCGTTTAATGTAGAACGAACGATAGCCACAAATTTGAAAGTTTTCGGGCATTGCAAACTAAAGGTGAATTTTTCCAGTTATTGGATTTTGTAAAGAAATGTGGAGAAGCGGTAATAAATGAAGATTATATAACAGAAATTTTTCATTGCAAGGAGAATGCCCCAATCATCAATCAATTAACGGATGGTGAAATCTGTAGTATGGTTCTAGATCTAGAAAATAACGCTTTCGATAGTGAAGAAAGTGACAAAGAGGTTATTGAAAACAAAAATTTCTATTGACAAGTTAGTCGGTATTCTCGACACAACAATTACAGGACTTTGTAACTGAACAAGAAATTATGTCTGTTTATAGAATTAAGAGAACGTATTAGTACAAAAAACGAAGCAATTTAAACAACTTACATTGAAAGAAATGTTTAATAAAGTAAACAAATAAATATTAAGCTTTTTTTATAAATTTTGATACCCTTTAGATCATAACTGCTCTTTATTTAATAAATTACAGTTTCATATTTTTAATTGTATAATTTTTGCATGCCGTCTTACCAGATTCCCGAAGAGTCCGAATTACAGACTTTGTACTGTAGTATCTGTTCCGCTTATAAGTGGCAATCTGCAAAACGGGTACAAATACCCACTCATAACGTGTTAATTAAACTTGGCTATTTGAAAGCAATATGTTGCCATTGCTTAAAATAAATTTATCTTTCATGGGTCAACTGAAATGACCGATACATTAACAAAGCAGAACACATTTGTGTTTGATAACTATATAAAAAGAACTTTCCCTACAGCAGACACCACTTAATATGATCACATTGGTCCACGATCATTTTGATAATATTAAACAATAAAAAAAAATTGCCGTCAAAACAGCAACAGGATTTAACTGGTTTAATATACATATAACAAAAAACATAAATAGGTACTTTAACAACATTTTAATTAAAAAAAGGGGCAAAAATTGTTTATAAACTGTTAACAATGTCTTTAATACAAAAGTTCATTTATGAACTGTCACAATGTTTCTGGAAATTATCTAACCGATGCTGTACTTTTAATCTTAATACTTTGAGGACATTCTTCACTGAAAGACAACATGTTAATGTAGAACTAAAAATTATGAAAAAAAGGAACCTCATGGATCCCCCCTCTTTAGAAGCAGACCCACAAGCCGCCAAATTTGGTAAACTCTAGTAGTTCAGTACGAGGTTTGAATCCCACAAACGGGCTAGCTGCATGGGTGTTTTCGTGATTTACCCCATGTGTAACATATATACGAGCCATTTCTCTTAGAAAGTCCTTCATTGAAGGCATCCCTCTCCTTTAGCAGAGGCTTTGCCATAATCACATAAACCAAACCAAAATCAACCACCAGAAGTAAGAAGAAAGGCAAATTTCTGCATTTTTTTTGCTCCTGAAAAAGGAGGCACACATGTCAAAAATTTCCTAATAAATAGACATTATTACTCGAAATTTATGCCAACCTAAGGTTGTTTTTTTTTTTGCTCTGTTTTACATGTTTAATTAAAATCTAAACCAAGCTGTCTGGTGACATTTCTCTGTCACCTGGCAATTTTTAGATAGTGATAGTGATTTCTGGCACAAAACCTTGAAGATTATATGTGCCGAATACAGGTGTGATATTTCAATATACATATTAATTACAGATACAAATATTAAAAGATATATATTTAAAACAAGCTCACTGATAAAATCAACAGATAGAATAAAGTGATGAAGGCTGACATGTAAAGTAAAATCCAAATGATTCAACTGTTAAAACAGGTAAAATTCATGAATGACAGTAGACATTAAAAGTATTTCAAAATGAATGATAAAACCCAGCATCTCTTAGATAGAGGAATATATTAATATTAAAATCTTGCCCAATGAGATGTTGAAGAGTTACCTCAGAACTATTAAAATATTTCTCACACAGTTTACTAAAATAAGGACACTCTGTAAAAATGTGACACACGGAGAGTATAAAATTACATTTGCAACAAAGAGCTTCTCTGTCTGTTTTTAATAGGTAGTTATGTATCACTCGTGAATGACCAATTCTGAGGAGAGTTAAAAGCACTTCCTCTCTCCGATTTCTATTTGCTTCCCAATGTTCAATTCTCGTTTTTATTCTTCTCAGCTTGTTACTAAGCTGAACATCCCAGAATAGCTGCCACATACATAGGACCTTCTGCTTGATGACAATGTTCACATCTT